GTGCCTGTCCCCGTCCACCCCTTGTGCTGTGTGGACCCGCTTCCCTGTGAACTCCTCCAGGGCTCTGGTGGACGGCTCTACCTGAGGAGAAATGTGGAAAGAACAGTTTGGTGGGACCCTCTACAGCACCCTCCCGCGGTTGGTGGGCTCCAGGCCACAATTGGTACTCATCATCCCCCTCCCTTAGTCTAAATTCCTTTCACCCTCCACTGTCACCTCTGCTGGTCTGGTGGCTTTCCGGATGGTGTAAACCAGGCTTACTCCTGAGGGTCCTGCACTCCCAGAAGCCGCCCCTTCTCAGGCCGGGGCTGCTGCACCTGTCCATTCACCGCCGCCTCTAGGCCAGGGTGCCCCGCATGGCCCCCCGAGTGTCACGTTCTGTAACAGCAAGCTCACCCCTTGCAGTTCAGGGTTGATTATCCCTGACATTGTGGTGACTCTTCCTGCCTTCTGGGCCCACAAGGAGACCAGAGTGCCCATGTGACAGCAGCAGGCTGAAATCCAACGGGACTTTTGCTGCGCTGCCCAGGGAAGGTGGACACCTCTGAGAACAAGGACCTCGCTCTGCAGGGCCCAGAGTCATGAGGTGGGAAGTCTTCCATCCCTTAATGGTTGACTGGGAGTGAGGGTAGGTGGGTCCCTCCTCCTTCTACCCCTTGTGTCCCAGATCCATGTGTCCTTGCTGCTGTGGAGGCAGCACCATGTGGGTTCTCTGATTCGGTGCGTGGACTGTGTCCAGGAGAGGGTGCTCCATCCTGACGGTATTCCCTCCAGCCAGGCACGACAGCAGGTCATTTCAATGTTCTGTCGGGCCAGCAGCTTCTAGGTGGTACAGTAAGTGAGAGGACCAGTGGATCCCGTGGCCATGAGCTAACTCTTCCTGATTGGATGTTGTGATGTATAGATCATACAGTCAGTGAATCCAGGTCAGCAGGTCAGAGATTTTGTAAGTCTCTAGATTGTGGTGCTAGTCAAGGCCCTATAAGCAGGAAAGAAAACTGCATACCTGGAATAGGTATCCACCCTGTGCAAATAAACTACTGGCTCTTCCAGGGGAGAATGGACCTAACATGGTCAATTTGGCATCGAATGACTAGTTGGTCTTCTTACAGCCTCACCATGGTCTCGGCATTGGTATCTTGCTGGCAGGGTGGACATTCAGAGTCAGCATTATCTAGGTCGGCCTCGGTAAGTGGGAGTCCATGTTGCTGGGGGTCCGTGCATAGCCTCCCTCGTTACCACCACTGCCCCTATATTTGTGTGCACATTGTACTAGCTCTGGGTGGGAACCACAAATGCTAATAGACTAAGTCATTTTGTCTACTTATTTGTCTAGTGAATCTTCTGGTGGATGTTTCTGGTGCACGTTAACATCTGATACAGTGCTTTTCAGGTTCTGTGTCCACTCATATGTCCATCCACATGCCTCTAACCTCAGACCTTCTTGCCTCGATCATCCACTCTTTTCCTTTCCAAACTCCGGCCAGTTGGCCAGGCCATTCACCAATGCCATGATTTCAAATATATTTTACCTTCCTTCCCTCACAAAGTGAATGATCGAGTCCATTATAAAAAATTCTGCTCTTTTTTTGCAGAAAGATTGAAGATTCTTTTTCTTGAAGCTGTCTTTCAATGTCACCAGATTGTGGGTGTAATAAAGATGCTGTTCCTTTTTAGCTTGTACCCACATAAGATGCCAACCCATTGGTAAATTAAGTTCAAGCTTTTCCCTTCCGGTTGATCATACAGGCCCTCCAAACAATCACAGGGAGGGAGTCGGGGTGTGGGTGCAACCACAATGCCATGGGGTGCGGGCTACCTGCTCATGCAGTTTGCTTATGTGCTCAGGTCCTGCTCGTTAGTGATCGCTACTGGTGGTATCATTTCCATCTTAGGATGGATTGCTGCTGGTCCCACCACCTCTGGCATGATGGTTCTGTCATGACCTAGCTAGGATGGACAGTCCTAGATATGTCATCACTTGGGGTTTCATGGTTCCATCTCTACCAGTGCCCATAGCACACTTGAATCTATTTTTCAAAGAGCATGTAATTCTCACCTTCAGTTAATATAGCCTTACATCAAGATCCCAGGGACCTGTATTGTAATTCTCCCACTGGGTCTTGTAAAAAATTCCACACTGCATTTTTCCCCCACCAGTGACACCTCCAATACCATAGGGTCTGCCAGATTTCATGGTCCAAGTTGCTGATTCCTTCAAATCTGTCACTTCTGGATCTGTTTCTAGTGATTGGTTTTCCCCCCTATTAATGGGTCATATTTTTATGTTTCTTTGCATATTTTTTCCAGTAACTTTATATTGGATGTTGGAAACTGTGAATGTTAGGTTGCTTGTTGATGTATTTTGTTGTATTTCTTTAAATAGTACTGGGTTTTATTCTGGTGCACAGCTAAATTTCTTAGAATTAGTTTGGTCTTTTCAAGGCTTGCTTTCAAGCTTTGTTAGGGGAAGTCCAGAGAAGCCTTTGGGTTAGAGACAGTTCAGCCTCACTACTAAGGCAATAAATACCCTTTGAGGACACTCCCTGAAGCCCATGCATTGTGAGTTATTTCCATTCTTGCCAGTGGGAACACACTATTCCTAGCCCCCCATGTACTCCATGAATCATTTGTTCTACTGCTTTCCAGTTGTTCCTTTCTTGGCTTGGATAGTTTCTTCTTACAGCCCCAGAGATCAGTGCTCAGCCATGGGCTCCAGGGGACCCACTGAAGATCTACAGGGCACTCTGTGTATATGTTTCTTCCTTCTCTCCTTTACTCTGCCCAACAAATTCCACCCATCTTGACCTCCTGAACATCGATCTGTTTCTTCACTCAGTAATACCACTGGTCTCTGGCTTCTGCTGTGCGTGCTTTGCTGCCTGGAAACTGGCCCCAAGCCCTGAACTTGAACAATGGTTGAACCCACCTTCTTTACCATCACAGCTGGAAGTGAGTTCCTCTCCCCCAGTATGCCCTTCCATCCAAAGCTGTACTCATTAGACACCCTCCCTGTGCTAGCAGCTGTCTGTGCACTGCCCATCCACCAGGAATGGGGTCTCAGAACCAGCCAGGCAGCAAGTGACCAGTATCAGAATAATGTCTTACTGCCTGTGACCTTGGGCCACTCAGATCCCATTTGTTCCACTTTGTTGTTTTTTGTTTTTATCCTCACCAGAGGACATTTTTCCATTTTTTGTTCAGACAGAGTGGGAGGGAGAGAGAGGAAGAGAGAGAGAGAGAGAGAGATATCGACGTGAAAGGGACACATCGAGTAGCTGCCACCCACACAACCAACCAGGGCCGGGGACAAACTGCAACCAAGGTACATGCCCTTAGCGGGAACCGAACCTGGGTCTCTCTGGACTGCAGGCCAACGCTCTAACCGCTGAGCCAAACCAGCCAGGGCACCCATTTGTTCCAGTTTGATGCTGAGGTGGACTTAGGAGCACAAAAGATGTGTGGCAAAGTCATACCTCTGGAAGGAAGAAGGAAAAGTAGGATTGGGCTTTTCCCAGTATAGATAGATGTGCCAAACAGATCTGCTCATGTCTCTGCCAGCCCACTGGGGAGCTCCGGAGCAGACTGTCTATTAGAAGGGTCCTGAGTTGGGCAGAAATAGCTGGGTCCGTTTACCACCACCTTGCTCAGTCTTTGGCTGGAAGATGCCAGAAAAAAAAGCATTGCTGTCAGCTGTCACTGCCTTGCTCAGTCATAGGCTAGGTACCCCCTGAGAACAGTGTGTTCTTATCCTGAAATCTGCAGTGGGCTCTGATAAAAGTAACAGCAGGAGACATCAGCTAACCACACCCCTCACAGCGGGGCAGCTGGTCCTTTCTCGAAGGTGGATCTGCACAGCACACTTCCACATGCTTGCCTGTCACAGCTTCAGATCCCAGAAAATAAATGACCATTCTTTGGCCACAGAACAAATTAGTACCAAATCGGATCAATGATTCGGCTCCTAAGTCACGCTCATCGGCAGAGGCCTCACTGGTAACCACCCCCCCCCCCAGCCATGGCTCAGAATCTATCCCTAAGCACTTCTAAAAGCCCACGAATGCTCGAACTCCATGCTTCCCAGACCCTGCACGGGGTCAGCAGTTCCCTTTGTCCAGGAAGACTGTTCTGCAAGCACCGCTCTCTTGCTCAGCAAGCAGTGCGTTCAGCTTTTCGTTCTGGGTGCTGAGTGTGGCCTCTTCCTTTGACCTTGTCACCTCTGCCCAAGCTGCTTGCCAAAAGAGACTCTACAGCCATCATCCTCCAGGAGCCCACAGTAAAGCTAATGCTTCCCCATGACAGGCTTCTAGGTATCAACGTGATGTTCTCTCCTCCGGGAAGAGCATTTTCCAACGCAGGTGAAAAGCCCAACCTCCTTGACTACGGGGCAGCCCACTCTCTTATTAGCTAGTCATTGGTATGTGGCCTCCAGAAAGACTACACGAAATAACTTGAAGATTCAAGGGAATTTTGAGATTCTATGTTTGTATACACTCATTCAGGAAAAACACACACTTGACTGATTATCAAAATTGGGTAGGAAGTCTCTAATTTTATAAATGTACTCTGTCACAAAATACTATCAGTACGTTGGGGTATTGTGGGAGTTTGGCAGCTGGGGAAGAGGACTCAACAGACCAACAGCGGCTGCAAAGGACCGCTTGATTTTTGTGTCCAACCTTCACTGCGCCTCTCCGGCCTGACGGCCCAGTAGTTCCACACAAGGTCAGTCTTGCACTTTTATTGATACTGTCTGGAGGGAATAACATCCAATGGACACAGATCCAAGTAGAAAAAGGCAACATGACTGTGATACAGTGAAGAAGGGGAAGTAACGTGGCATTTCCCTGGAGCCTCATTAGAACTAAAGACCACCAGGGTTGTGACCAATTTACATGTTTATAGAATACTGTCCCCTGCTATCTGTGCATCTCTATACACTTCAAGCATTAAAAAGGCACATTGGAAATAAGCTCATTTCATATTCATAATCGGGGGGAGAAGATACTAGGCATACATTTTATTTATAGGTGTGTTGGTGTCTACATGAACGTCTAGCCCCTGGCAATGCAACTACTTCCCTTCATGTCCTCATTCCTTTTCTTTGGAGGGCTCACTTTTCTGAATCAACCACACTTCGTTATTTCTATTTAGCAAATTGAAAGGACTGTTGTAGCCTGCAGTGTAGTAAACCTTTTGATCGAAAACTTTTCCTTCTTCCCTCAAAATGCTTGCTAACGTCAACAGTTGTTCTTGATTCTTTTGGGCACTGGAGAATCCATCGAAAGACCTACGAAGGAGAACGTAAACAACCATGAATAATTGTAATACTAATGCTAATGTCAGCCTGGGAAAAAAAAAAGCGGGAGCTGGTTCAGTGAAGTTGGGTAAAGCAGTTTCCAGGCTCCTCCCGCTCAGCCCTGGACCGAGTACTCCCGTCCTCTGGTTCCCAGTGTCAGGGTGACCGCAGCACACAGAGGGGAGCCACCTGTTGGAGGAGGGGTACGGCCCACCTGTAGGCAGGTGGATTGGGAATTCACACCCTCTTGTCCTCTAACTCTGTGCTTCTGAAACTGGACTGTGCACACGCATCTTGCTGATGTGCAGATTCAGGAGGTCTGGGATGGGCCCAAGAGCCTGTATTTCCAACAAGCTCCCAATAATGCTGCTGCTGCTGCTGCTGCTCAGAGAACCACACCAAAACCCACTTAGAAGCCTCCTTACAGACTTTCAATTTTCTCCTGAACGTTTCCCCCTTCTCCCTCTCCTTGGGCAAAAGGTAGGCACTGATTGGTGGATTAATATAATACAGTTTTGACCCTATGGATTCACAGTCTAAGAGACAGGACCAAAGTGCTGAGGAACACTAAGTATATGATTAAATCAAGATCAGGGCTATGATCTGAGTTGGGTTTGGAATGGAGGATGTTTTTGCTGGGCAGAGAAAAGGGAGGGGTTAGAAAAAAATAGAAGTCCAAAAATGCAAAGCATTTTCTTTTTTCTTTTTTTTGGTACACCCCCTTAGCGGGAACCGAACCTGGGACACTCTGGTCCGCAGGTGGATGCTTCAACCGCTGAGCCAAACAGGCCAGGGCGCAAAGCATTTTCATAGTGAGGCACATAGTGAGCTCAGGAAAGTGCAGCAGAGCCAGGAGGAAGAACTGTGTATATCATCATCCTAAGACCTTTATTCGTTAAATATCTCAAAAGGATGCTGAGCAGAAAAGTAGCCCACATGGAAGTGCCCAACAAGTTGGAAACTCGGGCTGGAGACACTAAATTTGCAAGTTGTTAGACCACAGCTATTCGAGGCATTGTAAACAGGTCACTCAGAGCAAGTCTGCTACGACAGGATCAAGAACAAGTATCAACAGTGATTCTTGGGGTGAGACGTGGACGAGGAGAAGAGGAATGACAAGAGAGTGACATGCTGGGAGTTATAGGATGCACAAATATCAGGGAACAGGCTGGTCAACACGCCAAGGCAGCAGGGGTCCCTGGGAAAGGGACCGTCATGTAACAAATGCAAGTGCACTGTGGACGGTGGCAAGAGCAGTTGCACGGAGCTGGTGTGGGCTGTACCAGACTGTGGTGGTTGGAGGCGAACAAGGGAGGTGAGGAAGCAGAGATAGACACATTCCTTTAACAGGTTGGTGGTGATCAGAGGGAGAGAAGGGGGGTAATAAAGGGATTCCCATATGAGACTATTACCATGTACTGTGTGTGTTTTTAAAATTTTAACAGAGAATTTAATATAAGGAATGAGTGCAACCGGTTGGCAGGTGGAAGTCTGGAAAAGTAAAAATCAGCCCATAAACGAACAGAGGCAATAACCTCAGGAAGCAGCGGCCATGCCTTGTGCTGGAGAATAAAAGGAAAGAGCCTGGGATTATCAGAACCTAAAAGTTGGGAGTTAAGGTATTTTTCTCAGGCGTAACTAGATGACAGGTAAGGGCAATCAGATACTTTTTGGAGGAATAATTTGCATTGTGTCTGATTTGTGGAAGGTATGCAACAGACTCTGCATTAAATGCGTTGATTATATCTTGCAACAGACCCTTGGTAACATAAAACTATGCCAGTAGGAAAACACCACAAACATGCATTAGACCTGTTTTTATGGAAGGGTGAAAAGCCTACTGAAATTGCATCGGAGCTAAACAGTGAGTGCAGGCCAGTGAAACTAGCAGTCAGCAGGCTATAAATTATCTACCGCTTACCGTACAAACACAGTCATTTCAGCTCTGTCTTCAATGAAGACATCTGACTCGGAAGGCCTGGGCGGATCGGATTGCTGCTCGGAGGGGATATACAGGGAAATGGTAATGGTAGACTCGCTGAAAGGCCCTGAACCCGGCTCCACGTAGCTCATCACCGGAGCTGTCATCTTTATCTTCATCTCTGTACAATAAAAATATATATTTAAATACAAAGGAGACCGTGAAAGCAAATGTAGGGTATTTATCACCACTTTTTCAACCACCTATTATTTTGTGATCTGAGTTTCTTGATTTCCTTTTGCTATTGGCATAAATACCGGGGGGAGGGGGACAAAGATAGGTTTACAGTTGTGAGTATGCAAAACAGAGTTTATTGTTGTATTATTTATTGATCAATGTATCATTTTCCATACAAACAACTGTAAACCTACTTTTGCCCACCCTGTATTTATCTTGAGGATAATTTTCATCTTTAAAAATTAAGGCCAAAATGACTCAATTATCCACTGCTCACATTAAACACTCTCTGTACTATTAATATTTTTGGTTACTAAATTCTAAAGTTTTAGGGATAGTAGGGAAGATTAGAGATCACATAACCCAGTCATTCTTTATTTTTACAATTCAGAAACTGAAGTCCTATTAGTCAAGTGACCTACCAGAATATAAATAGCATCAGAGCCAGAACCAGAAGCCTGTCCCGAGACTCTGGATCTCCTGTTCTTTGTACCCACCTGCCTTCTGATGTCTGCCACCCTACCAGTAACTAAATTACCTCGAAGCATTAGCCATGAAAAGGACTTAACACTAGTTACAGAGGCCCAGCTCCGCCGAAACACAGTCAAGAACAGAGGCTGAAAAACAGTAAGTCTTTGATGATCTGATTATTTTTCTGTTCTAAGGGATATTTCTTTAATAAGCTAAAACTCAAAAATAAGCCCGGGGACTCAACCACGACGTAAAATTGCGAGGTAAATGGCCTTCACCTTGCTCGTTTTTGCCTTGAATGTAGCTGTTCAGCCTGGTAAAGCCAGTCTGGATGGCGGAATCCCAGTCCATTGACTCAACGCAGGTGCTGACCCACTTGGCCGGTCCATAGTGTCGGATCTCGTAACTTTCGGGCTGACACGGAAGAGAAAACTTGAGGAAGCGATTCTAAGAGGGCAGGACGTGGATGCAACAGTACAGGTGCCTTGATTTGGGTCCTGTTTGGAGGCTGCCCCCACTTGCCGCCGGTTCCGGCTCCTTAGGGCCGGCCGGGCCCCTTCCAAGGCTCCCATCCTCGTCTGGCGGACTTTTCCAGCCCGGGCCGCGCGTGCGGGGGGCGGGGGGCGGGGATGGGGAGTGGTGAGGACGTGGGGCTGGGGCGGTGGGGGTGGAGTGGGGGATGAGGAGTCACCCCAATTCACCTTAAGAACAAACATCTCTCCTGTCCCCTCGCCCCGGAGAGTCCCGCCGCGGGTTCTGGGACGAGGTCGATTTCGCGCCCCGCGCCCCCCCTTTCCCGCAAGGAGAAGAAGTTGAGGTGTGGCCAGTACCCGGGGTTGTGGCTAACGGCAGAGTATTCCCTTTTGTTCGGGAATGACTAGGGGCTCAGACCATTCTAACAGTGGACTTTTCCCTTAAATATGTGGGACTCTCCAGCCTCACCGCCAATCAACCCGAAGCCGCCCGCTCCCCCCCATACGCACCCTGCCCGCACCCTTCGCCGCGGAGGCTCCTACCTGGGCGCCCGCGTCCTCCGGGGCCTTCCAGCCCGGTGTCTCCACGGCTGGGGCCGCGGCGCCCGGGGCTGCCCCGGGCTCTGGCTCGAGCACCTCGGCCATGGGCGGCGCCGACGATGCGGGGACAGAGCCTGCGTGTGCGCAGCGTGCTGGCCGCCGAGGTCCCCGAGTCCCCGCCCCGGCGCTGCCCGCTGCCCGCCAGCCGTCCCGGCGCGTCCCTCCTCCCGGCGGTGGAGACCCGGCTGCGCCGGACAGCGTGGCCTGGCGGGGAAGGCACTGTGACCTGGAGGGACCTCGATTCCCACCCCGCACCCCACTGCGGGGTCCCCTCCGCTGGGTGCGGGCTGGAGGCCGGATGGCAGGGCCCGTCTGGGTTCGGCTTTCTTCGGCGATCCCTCCCGCCCTCCGCCCTTGTTTTCTAATGAACAGCAGGCAGAGGTGTCCAATGTGGAGCCAGAGTGGTGAGGGGTTGGAGGACAGAGCAGCTGGCTGGCAGGGTTTCTGGTGTAACCAGTTCGGGAACCTCTCCCGCGGCCCCACCCACACTGGGAGCCGGTTCTGCTGACGGGTCTACGCCTGGGAGGGGTGGGTGCCGGCCTGCACCTAGTGGGTGCACCCAGTGAAAGGCAGGAGGGCATCTCTTCTCCCTGGGGGAGGGTGGGCACGCACTTACGACCTGAACTTGGCAATTCTTGCTGGCACCCCTGTGGGCCAAGGACTCCAAGCGAAGTTTGGATCCAGAGGCCCAGCCAGAGGTGAGTGGCCTTACACCTAAAATGTGGCCTGGTGTGCCTCCCCGGAGAAAGTGATGAACCAGTCATGCTTGGAAAAAACCTTGAACTGTCCTCCTTTCTTGACCTCTCCTCTCCAAGGACCCCCAAACCTCTAAGTCATCCCACCAGGTCTAAGTCTGTAGAAGGAGAAAGGCAGAAGGTTGAGGGGAGGAAGAAGAAGGGAGGGGACATCCTCTCTAGACCCTAGTGCTTTTTAAATGTCTTGGCTACATTTATTCTTTATTTTTTCTAAGAGATTTATTGAGATATAATTCATATACCACATAGGCCACCCATTTAATGTGTACCATTCAATGGAGTTTAGTATATTCACAATTTTGAACAACTGCCACAATCAATTTTAGAACATTGCCATCCTCCCCCCCAAAAAGAAACCCCATACCCTTTATCCACCTCTCCCCAGCTCCTCATCCCCTGGCTCTAGACAACTAATCTGCCCTCTGTCCCTGTAGGTTTGCCTATTCCGGACATTCCATATAAATGAAATCACATAGTCTCTTAACCCATCAGGGCTGCTATAACAAAGTATCACAGACTGGTAGCTTATGAACAACAAAAATTTATTCCTCACAGTCCTGGAGTCTGGAAGTCAGATCAGGGTGTCAGCAAAGTCAGGCGAGAGCCCTGTTCCTGGTGGCAGACTGCTGGTGGTGTCCTTACTTGGTGGAAGGGACGAGGGAGCTTTCTCTGGTCTCCTTTGAAGAGCACAAATCCCATTCACGAGGGAGTCTGCATTCCCGACCTAATCACCTCCAAAGGCCCCACTTTTTAATCCTATCAATGTGGGCATTAGGTTTTCTGCATCTGAGCATACAGCATGTGCTCTTCTATTAATGGCTTCTTACACTCAGCAAAACATTTCAAGTTTCATTTATGTAGTAGCATGTATCAGTATTTTATTCCTTTTTATGGCTAAAAAATATTCCATCAGGTAAATATTTTATTTATCCATTCATCCATTGATGGACATTTGAGTTGTTTCCAACTTTTGGCTAGACTGAATAATGCTGCTACAAACATTCATGTACAGGTTTCTGAATGGACATGTGTTTCCTCTTGGGTAAATGCCCAGGAGTGGAATTGCCAGGTCATCTGGTAACCCAATATTTAACTTTTTGAGGAACCACCAGACTGTTTATTTATTTTTAAATATGTTTTTATTGATTTTTATTTTTAGAGAGAGAGGAAGGGAGAGAGAGAAACATCAATGTGAGAACACCGATTGGCTGCCTCCCGCACGCCCCCTACTGGGAATCCAGCCTGGAACCCAGGCATGTGCCCTGACTGGGAATCAAACTGGGACCTCTTAGTCCATGGGAAATGGCTCAACCCACTGAGCCGCACCAGCCTGGCTAGACTGTTCTTTAAAGTGGCTGTACCATTCTACATTTTCACAAGCACCGTTTAAACATTCTGTTTTTCCACATCCTCACCAACTCTTGTAATTATCTGGCTTTTTGATTCAAGCCATCCTAGTGTGTATGCCTAGTACTTGTTTTTGAAATATAATTCACATAACATAAAAGTCACCCTTTTAAAGAGTACAAGTCAGTGGTTTTCAGTGTATTCTGTATGTTGTACAATCATCGTCACTATGTAACTTCAGGACATTACATCATTCAAAAAAGAATGCCCTGTCCAGTTTAGCGGTCACTCCCAATCCTGAACACCTCCCAGCCCTTGGTAATTACTAATTTACTTTCTATCTCTGTGGATTGGCCTATTCCGGATATTTCGTGTAAATGCAATCATATAACTTGTGATCTTTTGTGACTAGCTTCTTTTACTTAGTGTAATGTTTTCAAGAGTCATCCATGTTGTAGCATGTATCAGTAGGTACTTCATTCCTTTTTATTGTTGAATAATATTTCATTGTATGGTCCTAGTACTTTTTTTTTTTTTTTTGGTACGTGCCCCTAGTGGGAACCAAACCCGGGACTCTCTGGTCCACAGGCTGACGCTCCAAAAACTGAGCCAAACTGGCCAGGGCGGTCCTAGTACTTTTTAAACAATTGATGCCCTCTATTTTCCTTGCCCTTCCCTGCCCAAGCAAGTGTGCAGTGGCCTGTGGACACATGACACTTTCTAGTGTTTATGGCAAATCTATTATTACACAGAGCTAACTGTGAATTATTTAGTGAAGGCTAAATAATGAATTTTGACATTTAAAAAAAATCTCCTGTTTATTTTAACTTAAGTAACAGATGTGATCCATTGCTTAATTGACTGTAAAATTGAGAACACAACACTTTGCAGAGTTGTTCTAAGGGAAAAAGGAAGTAATTTACATTTTTGTTTAATAAATCTATTTTTCTTTTCACCTGCAGAGTATCTTTTACAGTTATCAATGCCTTTTGGGGGGCTTTTTACATATAGAAAAACAGGCTAAATTTGGAGACATTCATTTTATAAGGGGTGGAATATACAATTAATGAAGATAACAGCAGGTGACTAAGCTGAATTATCTATATTTACAAGGTGATAGTTAGTCATATAAAAGAACAGAAGGAAGGAAAGAAAAGGATTTATTTCAAAATAATAGGATTTGAGTTAGAACAAATTTAATGACATTCAGAAAGCTCAAGTTTTATATCCATATGTCAAAAACTATCTAGCTAGTTTTCTTGTTGACTAATTATGGTAAAATTGTTCTCTCCAGTAGTTCCTATTTAATCAATGTTTACATGACACCATGAAGAAGATATTTTATTTATGAGCTTTACAGCACAGGTGACGTGCAGCGTGGCACTTTTAGAATCAGGTGCCTGCACGTTCACCCCCGAGGGGAGGGGAGCCTGGAGAGTCCCGCAGCAGTAACTATAGCTGGTTCTCAGCATTTGCAGCAGCTACGTGCTATAAAGTCACCACGAACATCGAATTAATGAATACTGAACCCTTGCTTCTAGAGGAAATACAAAGTGAAGCGTCCCTGTAAACCTCAACATTTTGATCTACCGATTGATACATAAGCTTGTGTTGTGGGTGTTGTTGCATAAAATACTTTATTTAATATACACTGTTGAATCGTTAACACTGAACTCACAACCAGCAACACTGTAACTCGTGCCGCCAAAAGCTTAACTTCTCCAAAGGCAGCCACAGGCTCCCTGTGCTGAAACACCAGACAGCCCTTCAGCACCATGCCGGGGGGCATTTTAAATAGCCAAATCACCCACAAAAAGCACAACGATGGTGAAAACATGGCACTACATAGATTTAGAAAAGGGCACTTTTATTTATTTATTATTATTATTATATGATAGGTGAAGCTAGACAGCAGAGCTTTGCTTTGTTTAACCTCAGCTGGGGATATGTGCTCCCACTGGCTCACTTTTTTTTTTTAATCCTCACCCAAAGATACTTTTCCATTTATCTTCAGACAGAGTGAAAGGGGGGGGGGGAGAGAGAGAGAGAGAGAAACATTGATGTGAGAGAGACACATTGACTGGTTGCCTCCTGCTCAACCCCGACCAAGGCTGGAGACCAAACTGCAACTGAGGTACATGCCCTTGACCAGAATCGAACCCGAGACTCTTTTGTTGGAGTGTCGACACTCTAACCACTGAGCCAAACTGGCCAGGGCATGGCTCCCATTTTTCAATGCTCTCTGCCTGCACACGTCCACCAGTGACTGAGAGGGTGCTGTGAGGACTGCTTTCAGAGCTACAGATGCGTACTAGCAAGTTGGTGAATTTGCGAATACAGAGTCTGGGACTGATGAGGACTGGCTGTCAGTGCTTCCTACAGCACGTTACGTAGGTCACTCCCATCTATATTTCATTGACCAAAGAAAATCTTAGGGCCCTGAGGGTGGGAAAGGCAGTGATCATGCTGTGTTCTCAACTCAAATAGCTGAGGGAAGCACTAAAGTGTAACACTGATATTTTTAGTCATTAATCGATTACTTGATATTTGTGGCAGATTTTATTTCCCAAAGACAGTTGCAACATTATCTCCTATGCAACATGCTGATCTTAAAAGGTGACTTTGACACACCTTTTACTGAGAGGTGAAGATCCATGCTCCCTGTCCTTGAAACTCGGTAGGTCTGTGACTACGGTAGAAGTCACGCTGTGTGACTTCTGAGGCTAGATTGTGACAGACTGCCATCTGGTTCTCTTTGGGACACTTACTCTTAAAAATCCAATAGCCATGCTGAGGGTGAACCCAAGCAGCTCCGTGGAGAGCCGTGTTCCTAGCTGAGGTCCTGGCTGATAGCTGCATCAACCACCACAGGTGTGAGTGACCCAGGGTTCAGATGACTCCAGGCCCCACCACTGAGTCACCTTTGGAGATCCTCAGTTCTTCCAAGCTGAGACCCCAGA